TTTTCTTATTTCTTACGAAGTTAATTGGGAGTTCTCTCTCTGTCCGTCTCATTTGGGGTAGTTTTGGGAAACCGATTATGTAAATAAGATGGGAATGGAGGTTGCATTGAAAAACCCGGTAAGTTTTGGGAGAGAGATGCCCCACCCCACCCCGTCCCGAATATACTATAAATTTATTAAATTACCCTTACATATTATGATATATTACTAAAATAAGTTAAGTATATACATACACAAACCCTAGCCCTCACTTAGTTTCATGTCCTAACTCACGTGAAAAATAGAGAGCTGTGAGTAGGGATGGCAAAAAATCCCACCCTAGCTGGGTCCCGCCTCGTTTGAGGCAGTTTTGGAGAACCGATTATATAAATGGGGACAGGGATGGGAGCTGCTTTGAAAAACCCAGGATGGGAGCTACTTTGAAAGACCTTGCGGACAGAAATGGAGATAGAGAATGAGATCCCTCTACCCAAACCGTCCCATTGCCATCCCTATTCATAAAGGATAATACTGTAATTTAAAACTTCTATAATAGTCAACTCTTTTTTCCCCTCTTCCCTTCCATTTTCAGAGGGTTGAAAATTTGTAAAAAATAAAGGATGACACATCCTTCCTATTATTCTTTCTTTTCTTGTATCATATAAAATAAGTTTCCTTCCTTTCGAACAAAACACAGCTAAAGTTGTAACATTTTAAGTGGAGCTTACTTCAATAAGTATTTCCGTGCAAAAATGAAATTAAGTTACCAAACATCCAAATTTCTCCCCTCTTCAAATGACTTGGCCCAACTTTCATTATCCTGATCCAGCTCACCTTTGGTGACAGTTTGGACTTATTCATGAGTCCAGAGTGAGCCCGTACAACTTGATGCTTTAATATTTATAGTACACTTTTCCCTTTCTTTAAACATTTTCAATATATTTCACTACTTTTATATCAGTAAGTGCGATATAATTATTCAAGATTACAAATAATAATAATAATAATAATAATAATAATAAAATAATAAAACTTAAGCTAAGCCACGTCTATCATTACCAATCAAGTCTTGGGCTAACTACCGACATAGGAACAAATTAGCATGATCAAAATTACAAAAAGCCGAAAATGAGAATCATAATTCGCACAGGCCACACACACTACATCCCCATGAATCCGCACAATCGTGTCGCCATTAAATAGAAAACTATACTTTATAAATTAAGACTTATTCTACATTCTTAACAAACTCTGGGCTATATAAATTATTCCAAGGATCATTGTTAATTTGTTAACAAAATCAACATCCCCATAAAATAAAATAAAAAACTAAGATAACTCAGGTGATGCAAGTTGTTCAAGTCACTATCATAAATATCAGATACAAATTAATAATCATTCTTTTTATTGACCAAACAGAGACAGCATACTCAGTCCCCGTCTGCTGTCCAACATGACGGCCATGGAATAACCCACATGCCGGTTGCCACTCATGGAAACTCAGGAGCTCTTCAAAAAGGTCCAGCTGGTGTTTCCAGAAATGGTATCAAATGTATGTGAAAAAACATCTCCCAAATAAGATGATATGTATCTCAGAAGGGCGGCCAAAAATTACCGTATCCGGACTCGAGAAATCAGGAAAAGTCACAACCAACCAAAAATTAAGCTAAAAATTCAGCAGGTACCAATCAATAACATGATATTTATGTATTTCGCAAGGGGCCATTACTTGATATTTATGCATCCAGCACTCTACGAATCCGACCTACTTGCAGTAGGTATGGACCATTAGGATGAAGGGAGACAGGAAAAGAAAATGTCATTCAAGTGTGAATTTAAACTCGGCATTTTACCACTAGCGAGTTTCATCAAAGCTTACTAGTTGCCAAAACTACAATATAATGTTGGTTCTGCCTCCACATAATGACTCTTCTCATACTCAAACTAACATCCCTGTGCTTGTCATCTTAGTTTTGGTTCCCCCCGTCTCTCTGATAATACAATATGAATGTCTTCATACTCGAACTAATATCATCCCTATGTTTGCCATCTAAGGCTTGGTTCCGCCGATGCCTCTGATATTATTCCTCCACAATATGACTGTTCTCATACTCGAACAAATATCCCCATGCCTTAGGTTTTTACCACTTCGCTAAGCAATAACTCCCACAAATGTGAACGATCAATTTTCTTATATTTTTCCTGTCTACCTTCGAAGTGGCAGGATCTATTATTTAAAGCTTAATATTTGCGAGTCTACAGCTCAGAAAATAATATCAGTAACACATGGGTGCCCACGAAAAATTATCAGTAACACATGGGTGGGCCTCCTTACTGAATCAAATCCTTAGAACTCCTATCCCTATGGTTTCAAATCATTGGACAAGACAAAGTCCCACATGCCATCACATTTGTCATTCGAATACACCATTATTTTTATTAATAGAAACTTAGATCACGATATTTGCATAAGGTGAACACACCATGACTTCCCTGGAAAGTTCAAATTGACACTATTCTACCTAATTGAAGCAAAGCCAACTATATTACCCAAATTTCAGGGAACTTTGCACCTTGCAAATATCTAACTTGCGAATATGCTTGGTATCTACTTTTCTTTACCAACTGTTTATTCGATAATAGTTATCTAAATCATATGTTATAGCAAGTGGAAAGTTCATACAACAACGACAACCAAACCTTATACATCAATCCTACCTCTCCTATAATATCTTTCTTTACTAACTTTACCCATGTCAACACGTTACACCATTGTGCCATCCCATTCCTAGAGGAAAAAACACCAGTTCATCACCATCTTTACAATGCAAATTTGCTTGACTATTTCACAAACCGAAGTAAGATAATAATAAAATAAAATAAAAACGATTAATGGTAAATCAAAGCTCCCTATTTTATTTCAAAGCAAAATTATCTGTAAGTTTACAATTTATTTGTGATGCCCTAATTCAAGTTATTGCAACTCGAAACCAGAACTAAAGCATACCAAATCGAAAACAGAGAAATTCGAAACAAAGGTAAAAGTGAAACAAACGACAATGTTCTGTAACTGAGAGGAATTTAATGGCTAGAGATCTTAGGATTGAGAGACTAATTCCAAGGATCATTGTTAATTTGTTAACAAAATCAGCATCCCCATAAAATAAATTAAAAAAGTATGATCACTCAGTTGATGCATGTTGTTCAAGTCACTATCATAAATATCAGATACAAATTAATAATCACTCTTTTTATTGACCAAACAGAGACAGCATACTCAGTCCCCGTCTGTCGTCCAACATGACGGCCATGGAATAACCCACATGCCAGTTGCCACTCATGGAAACTCAGGAGCTCTTCAAAAAACGTCCAGCTGGTGTTTCCAGAAATGGTATCAAATGTATGCGAAAAAACATCTCCCATATAACATGATATGTATCTCAGAAGGGGGGCCAAAAATAACCGTATCTGGACTCGAGAAATCAGGAAAAGTCACAACCAACCAAAAATTAAGCTAAAAATTCAGCAGGTACCAATCAATAATATGATATTTATGTATTTTGCAAGGGGCCATTACTTGATATTTATGCATCCGGCACTCTACGAATCCGACCTCCTTGCAGTAGGTATCGACCATTAGGATGAAGGGAGAGAGGAAAACAAAATGTCATTCAAGTGTGAATTTAAACTTGGCATTTTATCACTAGCGAGTTTAATCAAAGCTTATTAGTTGCCAAAACTAGAATATAATGTTGGTTCTGCCTCTGTCCCTGATATTATCATTCCACATAATGACTGTTCTCATACTCAAACTAACATCCCTGTGCTTGTCATCTTAGGTTTGGTTCCCCCTATGTCTCTGATAATACAATATGAATGTTTTCATACTCGAACTAATATCATCCCTATGTTTGCCATCTAAGGTTTGGTTCCGCCGATGTCTCTGATATTATTCCTCCACAATATGACTGTTTTCATACTCGAACAAATATCCCTATACTTGTCATCTTATGTTTGGTTCCGTCTATGTCTCTGATATGCTTGTCATCTTAGGTTTGGTTCCATCTATGTCTCTGATATTATTCCTCCACAATATAACTCTTCTCACACTCGAACAAATATCCCTATGCTTGTAATCTTAGGTTTTTACCACTTCACTAAGCAATAACTCCCACAAATGTGAACAATGAATTTTCTTATATTTTTCCTGTCTACCTTCGAAGTGGCAGGATCTATTATTTAAAGCTTAATACTTGCGAGTCTACAGCTCAGAAAATAATATCAGTAACACATGGGTGCTCAGAAAATATTATCAGTAACACATGGGTGGGCCTCCTTACTGAATCAAATCCTCAGAACTCCTATCCCTATGGTTTAAAATCATTGGACAAGACAAAGTCCACATGCTATGGCATTCGTCATTCAAATACAAGTATAATTCAGATATTATTCTCAAATAAATCTTTATTTTTATTAATAGAAAATTAGATCACAAAGGATATTCGCATAAGGTGAACACCTGGAAAGTTCAAATTGATACTATTCTTATGACTTCCCTGCAAAGTTCAAATTGATACTACCCTTCGTAATTGAAGCAAAGCCAACTATATTACCCAAATTTCAGGAAACAATTTTTTATTTTATTTTATTTTATTGTTCGGAAGGTAATTTCAGGGAACTTTGCACCTTGCAAATATCTAACTTGCGAATATGCTTGGTATCTACTTTTCTTTACCAACCGTTTATTCGAGGATGGTATCTAATTTATATGTTATAGCAAGAGGAAAGTCCATACAACAACGACAACCAAACTTTATACATCAATCCTGCCTCTCCTATAATATCTTTCTTTACTAAATTTTTACTAAATTTACCCACGTCAACACGTTAGACCATTGTGCCATCCCATGCCATCCCATTCCTAGAGGAAAAAAACCAGTTCATCACCATCTCTACAATGCAAATTTGCTTGACTATTTCACAAACCGAAGTAAGATAATAATAAAATAAAATAAAAACGATTAAAGGTAAATCAAAGCTCCCTATTTTATTTCAAAGCAAAATTATCTGTAAGTTTACAATTTATTTGTGATGCCCTAATTCAAGTTATTGCAACTCGAAACCAGAACTAAAGCATACCAAATCGAAAACAGAGAAATTCGAAACAAAGGTAAAAGTGAAACAAACGACAATGTTCTGTAACTGGGAGGAATTTAATGGCTAGAGATCTTAGGATTGAGAGACTTATTGAACCATGTCTTCCAACTGCCAGTACCCTTCCGAGAAATCTCCGATTTTGCATCATCCATAGCTTTCTCCGGCTGGGACTTCTTGCAGAGCATGAAATTCCTGACGCCGAGTGACCCAATTGTCTCCCATGGACTCAAAGCTACAATCAAATACAAATTCCCAACAAATTCGAATTAAAGCTTTCAACTTAAGTAAAAAAAATTGAACAATTTAAAAATGGTTGAATTTTATTACCTTCTGCTACGGCATTGGGGCAGTAGAGCACGAAATTGTTTATATCAGTGCCGAGAATCGGGAGGCGCTTCTCCCGAGCGTACGATTTGAGGGCGGTGTCGATGACGGTGGCGACGAGCTCTTCTTCATTGACGACGAAACGGATCGGACCGGCGCTTCCAAGGACAGTAATGCTGATCAACAGCCGGTTGCCCTTGCTGGGCTGACTCTTCTTTTGCTTGTACAGTAGCATTGTCACGGAAAGAACAAAAGAACAAAAATTGAAGGGAATAAAAAAAACTCTAGACTAGAAATTGGGACCGTAGAGAGAGAAAAAGTGAGGGTTTCTCTAGAGAGAGAAAGAGGGAGGAGGGGGCGGTGTCTATGGGTCGACGCCGAGGCAGCGGTAGTACCAGCCTTCCTTGCAAGATCCAAACGAAAAGGCAGAGGTTGCAGAGATCCCCCGCGAAGGAAAGGGGGAGATCATTAACCAATTGCTAAAGAATTCCACCATTCACAATCGATTCTGATTGTAGAGAGAGAAAGTCGGTGCAGATTGATTAGGGTTTGTAGAGGGTGAGATGGGGGAGGAGAAAGGTATGGTGTTGTATTGCTTTTTATATAATTCAGAGAGGGGTGGTGTTATTAGGGTTAGGGTAATTGCAATTTTATTCCTCTCTAAAACTACTTCTTATATAAGTGTGTTGTGTGAGGTGTGAGGCGGTGTTTGTTAAAAAGAGTACAATTTACACCTTCCTTCGTTGTTCTGAAGAGGTTGTTGGTAATTTCCGCCGATTCTCTCTCTATCCTTCACAAAACGTTGCGTGTGGGTGAAGTTCTAACACGTTTTATTTTTTTAATACAATTCGAAGTCTGATTTCACAAAGAGTGTGCTGTCTCACCATAAGGGGTGCCCAAGGGTTTCGGTTGCTGGAACCGGAATTGATCTCAATAGTTCTTAAAAATTGAAATTGGAATAGTTGGGATATGAAATCGCAAACTGATTTCCTGATTTTGGTTCGGCTTGGTTCCTATTCCTTTTATTATTATTATTTTTTAATTTAATAACTCTAAACCTATGTATGTAGGGATGGCAAATTCTCCACTCCCGCCGGGTCTCTGCCAAACCCTGCCCCATTTATAGCGGGGATGGGGATCTTTTTATGTAAACGGAGGTGGAGATGGGGTAAATTTTGAAAACCCGCCCTCGATTAAGTGTGAAATTATTAATATACTCATACATTTAATAATTTATTACTAAATCAGATTTAATATATATATGAAAATAAGAAATATTATGTTTTTTTAAAATATATATATATGTTAATCGGGGCCGGGGACGGGGCGGGTTCGGGGATAGGGGTTCGGGGTTGGGGGCGGGGGCGTGTATGGGGGTGGTGGTGAAATTTTAAGACTTGTTGTCTAAGTCTACCTTTAAGAAACCCAACGAGATGCCTTGTCGGGGATGCCCCGTATAAAGAAGTATCGTTGTTTAACGAGATGCCTCGTTCAGAGATGTTCAACGTGTCGGATCAGTTCTGTCACCACGCCACCATGCGCCTCAAAAGGTAATCCCACTCTTCCATGTGCTTTCATGCGTACCCGCTGTAATCTTGCACCTCAACGTGTCCGATCAGCTCCGTTACCGCATCACCACGCACCATCAGTGGTCATAATGCCCCACGCCGCGCCACGTCATCTTACCACGTTCTTCACCAAATCGCTTCCGCCATGCCATTTTCAAGATCTCATTTCCAAACTTAAGATGGTTTCATTCAATCTACCTTGATTTTGAGGGGCTGTTAGAATATATTGTGTTGTATAATATATAGTTTACTTGTTCATCACACATAATCCTTCCTCTATAAATCCCTCTCATATATATCTCATATTCCATCAATACATCAATATACAGAGTTATACTCCCTTTTATATTTCTAACACACCAAGGCGTGTGCTGACATAAAATTAAGATCCCTCGAACAGAAGAATTTTGAATGGTTTAAGAAAAGTCGTGTTAATTTTTAAAACACCATAAAATCGTATTTAGCCTAGCTGAAGAATGAGGAAACAAAGTCACCTTAAGGGCATATAATAGCTTTTTTCATTTAAATTTTTATGAAGTTTTCAATTCAACATATTTTATTCTTAACTTATTAACTCATGACTACAATGTAAATAACCGATACCAATGAAAATTTATTCATTGTTGATTTTCCAACTTAGAGGAGATAATTTTATTCATAACCAAAGAATTTATTTTTTAACTCTATTTACAATTCCACTTTGGAACAATCATTAATGATCTAGGCAATTAGGGTTCTCCTATAACTCCTCCAAAAAAAAAGAAAAAAAGAAGAGGTTATTCAATCCAATCACAACTCATATTCAGTTTTTCCTATTTATAATATCTTATTAAATTTTTATGTATCCACTTTTATTAATAGAAGAGTTTAAATTAAATTAGATCACATGGTCCAAAACTATATCTTAAATTAAAGAACTTTTGGAATAAAATTACGGGACAACTACAAAAAATACCTCTAAAGTATACTTTTATTCTATATTTGAAAAAGTGTGCAAAAATATTCCATCTAATATAAATTAGTGATGTAATACCCGTCCAAGATGTGCACAGTACTTTATATATATATATATTTGAAATTTTTTTCTTTATATATAACTCTAAACATTTTTTATTTTTAAACTTTGAGAATTTATAAAATAAGGATTTGAATTTTTTGATATTCCAATTTACTCTTTTGTATTAATTTTTTTTTTTTTTTTTTCGTACCAACACTGTTAAATAATAAATAAATAAACCCAATATCAGTGTGCACTGGTTTTCGGAGTTTGAAAATTTTTTTGTTTCCTTTAGTTTGGACTTTATTTTTGTTTTTTTATTTTTATCTTTACTTTTCTTTTATACTTTTATTTTTATTTTCTATTTTTATCTTTACTTGTCCACCGGTATCCTCCAATAATGTCATTTTCGATCATTTTATAAAATTATTATTTTTTATATATTTTATAAAATGGTTTAGTAAGGATAATTTAGTCAACTTAAGGTTTAAATTTGTCGGAGGAAACTATTTGCACCAGATTGAAACTTTAGGGATATTTTTTTGTATGAGAGGGGCATCCTCAAATAGTATAATTTTTGGTCATTTTACACATTTATTTATTTTTATATATTTTATAAAATAGTTTAGTAAGGAAAATTTAGTTAAATTAGGGTTTAAATTTGTCAGAGGGACTTATTTGCACCAAATTGAAACTTTAGGGTATAAACTCTCGAAAAATATTTTTTTTGCATGTGAGGAGTATGTTGTGCACCGACCCTAAAATTATTGTAACAAGTGTGGACTTATGAGACAAAAACACCTAGCTCTAGACAACATTTAACTAAGAGAAGCCAACTAGGGCACCATGGAAACAAATACTAGCCTAATTGTTACAAGGGGAAACTTGTCCCACATCGAATCCGGATAGGAAGTGACATGGGTATAAATGAGTGAGTATGCAGCACTACCCAACAGTTCGAGCTTTTGGGTAAATGGGCAAGCGCCCACCCGTTACAGTTGGTATCAGAACCAGACCCAGTCCTTGATCCGGTGCCACGCCAAGCGCCCGGCCCGGAAGGTGTCCGGGTGTGCCACCCCTGGTAGGCAGGGTGGCCCGACCGCAACGAGGGCGTTGCGAGTTCGGGTGGGAGAGAATGTTACAAGGAGAAACTTGTCCCACATCGGATCCGGATGGGAAGTGACATGGGTATAAATGGATGAGTATGCAGCACTACCCAACAGTTCGAGCTTTTGGGTAAATGGGTAAGCGCCCACCCGTTACATAATGGTGGGCATCTCCCCATTGGTGCTTGGGAGCCAAATACAAGCCTTCTCATCTACACCCTCCTTGCCCTATGTATTAAAATAATAATAATAATAAATATTACCTAACAATTTCAATTTTAATTGGAAATGTGTGAGCTCGAGGCAAAGTACATCATTGTTGCATATTCACTTATAGTCTTTGTACAAATTATGGTCTATCGTACTGGCTGATATACGAATATTTATCCGAAATTATTACACCGTGTAGGTGCAAAATTTCGCTCAACCAATAATGATTGAGAAAAATAAAACAACTCACTCAAAAAACAATAGAAATAAATAAGAACAATGTATAGAAAAACGTATAATTGATTGATCCTTTTATTGGAGGTCTAGGCCTCTATTTATACATAAAAATTGGTAGAATTAAGGTAGGACTCGCGTTACTTGTCCTCCAATTCTTCCCACACATGACTTTATTTACAAATAGAGTTATTTCTATTGTATAATATTTCCTACGCAGAACTTGCGTTGTATGGAACTTCCCATAAAAGAATTCTCCTTTTATGGTAAATCCCTCTACCGATAGGACTTGTTCAATTTTGGAAAATTGGGCTGAATATACTTTGATCCGGCTAGGCTTGAATAACGGGCCGGATGTTAAATATTAAAAAGTTAGACTGATGACCTCTTGATTCGGCCTTGATGGAGGTTGGAAGACAAATAACAGTGGTCTTGGGCTAAAAATACACTCAATTTGTGCTTGAGCATGACGAGCCTTTGGAAGATAGATTTACATCTATGATGACGTGGAATATTCTTATTGGAGGGGATTTTTTCCCTCCACACTTTGCTCCCAATTCCCTTTAGTTTGACGTGGCAGTCATAACTAGAGGAAATTAAAAAATTCAGACAGTATGCCTTGAAGGCAGTGACTTATATTTGTCTTCTTGGAAAATACGAAAACCCAAAATCAAGGCTTCTGAGGAGGTTGTAGTTGAGGTGCCCCCATGCTTAGAGGTGGCGTCTTATGTTAAGCCTTCTTCTGTTCAAGCTATTGGCGCTTTCATTTTTTCAGATTGACGACGATCACTCTTGGCGATTAGCTTGGGTGACTAGCCTTAATGAATAATGACGGTGATCATTTTTAATGATTATCCTGGAGATCAACATAGTGTTTTTCTTGAACAATTAGCTTCAACTTTCCTGATTAGCATTCCAAGGTAATTTATACCCTCGACACTGCTCTGTGCTTCAGAGGATTTGATATGAAAAACTTTAACTGTCGATTTCTTTGAGTTCAAGGTAATGTTCATGTCATTTTGTTCTGCGGCACTTTTGTGCCTTAAAGAAACTTTGAGGTACTCGGACTCTTGAGGTCTAAAGGCGAATGTTTATTTCTCGGCCATGAGCCTAAGAAGAACAGTATTGTACCGGATGCTTGAGGTTCGAGGCATGTAGTTCCTCGGCCATGAGTCAGAGAGGAGCTGTAATGTACCAGACTCTGGAGGTCCGAGGAATGTAGTTCCTCGGCTATAAGCCTCAGAGAAACTGTAATGTACTGGACTCTCGAGGTCCGAGGTATTAAGTTCCTCGGCCATGAGCCTAGGAGGAACTGTAATGTATCGGACTCTTGAGGTCCGAGGTAGTAAGATCCTCGGCCATGAGCCTGAGAGGAACTGTAATGTATCGGACTCTTGAGGTCCGAGGTAATAAGTTCCTCGACTATGAGCGTGAGAGGAACTGTAATGTATCGGACTCTCGAGGTCCGAGGTAATAAGTTCCTCGGCTATGGGCCTGAGAGGAACTGTAACGTACCAGACTCTCGAGATCCGAGGTAGTAAATTCCTTGGCCATGGGCCTGAGAGGAACTGTAATGTACCGGACTCTCGAGGTCCGAAGTAGTAAGTTCCTCGGCCATGGGCCTGAGAGGAACTGTAATGTGTCGGACTCTTAAGGTCCGAGGTAGTAGGTTCCTCGGCCATGGGCCTGAGAGGAACTGTAATGTGTCGGACTCTTGAGGTCCGAGGTAGTAGGTTCCTCGGCCATGGGCCTGAGAGGAACTGTAATGTGTCGGACTCTTGAGGTCCGAGGTAATAGGTTTCTCGGCCATGGGCCTGAGAAGTGTGGAGGGAAAAAATCCCCTCCAATAAGAATATTCCACGTCATCATAGATGTAAATCTATCTTCTAAAGGCCCGTCATGCTCAAGCCCAAATTGAGTGTATTTTTAGCCCAAGACCACTGTTATTTGTTTTCCAACCTCCATCAAGGCCGAATCAAGAGGTCATCAGTCTAACTTTTTAATATTTAACATCCGGCCCGTTATTCAAGCCCAGCCGGATCAAAGTATATTCAGTCCAATTTTCCAAAATTGAACAAGTCCTATCGGTAGAGGGATTTATCATAAAAGGAGAATTCTTTTATGGGAAGTTCCATACAAGGCAGGTTCTGCGTAGGAAATATTATACAATAGACATAACTCTATTTGTAAATAAAGTCATGTATGGGAAGAATTGGAGGACAAGTAACGCGAGTCCTACCTTAATTCTACCAATTTTTATGTATAAATAGAGGCCTAGACCTCCAATAAAAGGATCAATCAATTATACGTCTTTCTATACATTGTTCTTATTTATTTCTATTGCTTTTTGAGTGAGTTGTTTTATTTTTCTCAATCATTATTGGTTGAACAAAATTTTGCACCTACACACCGCAATTGCGACCGATACATGCACTACCAACCATCGTACAAACTACATCCCAGGAAGTTGCTTCACAAGTTCACAACCAACAGTTGGATGAACCATACATGGATGTATAAAAATTAATCCCCACCATCTAATTATGGTCAACATTCATTGAACTTGTACATATACAAGTTACTTGTTGTAGCAAAGCAGCCTCCAAACCCTCCACGTGAAAAAAATAAAAAAAATATCCCAGCCAATAACAACACTATTTTTGTTTTTTTAGTAGGCAGTTATAAAAACTCTCAAAAAAAAAAAAAAAAAAAAAAAAAAAATTACTAGCATGTGGCGTAATAAGGGACGAAATGCATTGGAAAAGTTAAAAATAAACAAGGATCTAGAAATTCCCGAATAGATGAACCTACATAAGTGACAAGTCCTACCTCAATCTATTTTTATTTTTATTTATAAAATAACCTTTCAAAATATTGATCGAAAATATGTGTTGGACTCGGTTGCCCTTTTACTTACAATATGAAATGACAAATATATCCAGGGGTGGAGGTAGAAATTGAATTCAGGGGCATCAGTGTAAAAAAAAAAAAAAAATTTCAATAATCACAACAATAAATATAAATTTTATAAATGAAGAGATAAAGAAGAAAAATTACTTAAAATAAGATGTCAATTAATGAGTAATTTAATAAAGAAAAATAGTTAACAAAAAATTTTAAAAGGAAAGAGTTTGATTCAAAAAGGAAAATTTGACTTTTTTAAAAGGAAATTAAACTAATTTAAAGAGTAAATAAAAGAAGAAATACCAAATTTAAGTGATAATTTTAGAAAATAAAAATTTCAAAGGATTTATATGAATTTTTTTATATATACATATAAAAATATATAAATTTAGTATATGTATTATAATAAACGAGACCAGATCAGAAGGGGCACGCGCCCGAGTGCCCCATGCATACATTAGCTTCTTGCCAGAATATATCCCAACACTCATTCCATGGATATAAAATCGAGACTCATCTCAAAGATGCATGTAAACCCATTTCATTTTATCCCATCATGATGTGTTAATGCTGTCCGTATTGTCATTGTCGAATTCTTCATATCCTATCCAAACTCATCCCAAGCTTTCGAATCAAAATTTCATTTTATATAGATGAACACACATCAAAAGTTCAAAACAATTGAAATTGTCGGACAGGCTCTTATCCTTTGTTAAGGCCCATTCTCCTAGAAAAAGGGCTCTGAATCTTAAGTCCAACGTGGTTGACCTGGATCCCGGGCCCACTTGGCTCATGGACCTTTGCCTCTGAAAAAACAAAAAAAAAACACAAAGTTGAAAGGGATTGTCGATCTCTCAAAAAATTAGATTAGGGGATTTTTGTAAGAAAAAAGATAGTTGAGGTGTGTATTTTATTTTATTTTATTATTATTTTTGGTCAATATAGTTGAGGAGGATTTATGCAAATTGTCCTTTAATTCCAAGAGAGCAATTTATTTATTTTTCCTGAATGAAGAGAGCAATTTAATTAACAAACTAATTACAAAATTATGCACTAAACGCTCCTCCAAGTCAATATGAATGGCATCAAACAGTACATATATTACTATCATTGATAAGCAACCAGCAATATAAAATACACTCCTGCAAGCACAAGTTTCTCTGCACACCCATACTTAAAAACATATTCATTAATAAACATATATATATATATATATATATATATATATATGTATCACTCATAAGAACAACTCCCAAACTTTATAGCTAGTGTTTATTGTTCATTTACTTAGCAGCACCACCAATCCATAAGCTAGATTTTGTGGGTAGCTAATTCTGGAGATGATGAGTTTCAATATCTTTGGTGACATTAATACAGAAGTCCATCAATGTATCTGGATCTGGAACATCCTCTTTCAGCTTCTCGTATTCGAAAGTCCACGTCACCAGGTTACTCTCACCCTTAGTATCAACATGAACAATGATTATGAAGCTCTTGTACAGCTCTATGATATCTCCTTCAATTACCTTGAATGTCACTGATTTCTTTTCCTCATCTATGGCTTCGATCAACTCCTTAGCAATCTTTTCTTTTCCATCTACATACCATATCACATAAAATAAATAATTAGAACAAATTAAGCATAATGATGAGTAAGAACTTAAGAGAACTTAGAAATATAATCTATTTCTTTTTTATAAAAGAATTTATGTCAAATTTATGCAAATTTGGACTAAATCATTTGTCACAATTTATCTCACTACGTGGATATGATTTGTTTTGCACAATTTTACTCACAACTTTCAAAATGTGTTTACAGACTTAGGAAATATCCATACGTATAAGTGACAACAATCTCTTAGACAATTTTGAACGTCACAAATTTGTATAAAATACTAATATGTATATTTTAACTTCTTTTTTATTTATTTATTTTTATCTGAAGCTCCGGTCTGAGCGCCTCCCCATCCTCGGTCTGAAAAGCCGCTGAGTATGGCAGCGGAGGCTAAACCCGATGCTAGGAAGGCACTTTGTATTACCCACACGCTGGTGAAGTGGAGATCCCACGCAAAACTGAAGAAGTGAGTTGAGTTTGACATAGACAAAATATATGTTTACATGTATGTGTATATATATATATATGTGTGTGTGTGTGTGTATATATATATATATATATATATTGGTGTATATATAAAAATGGTGTTGGCTTACCATGGACATAGTTCCAGAGGATGATAGAGCCTACAGTTCCCCAATCACCTTCATGAAGACCAACACCCTGAACTTTATCAGGGCAGATGTTGGATATGTGGTGTGGTCTGGTTCTGAAGATTTCATGAAACACATCACCATCAGACTTGATCTCTGTTTGGCGTACCATCTTACCACTGAGACCCATCTCTCCAAGCCACTCTTAATTTACTGAACAGAAATGGAGGGAAGATGTGGGAGGAAGCACATTGCCCTTTGGCCTTTTATATTGAAGATTCTAATAATTGTTTTAATGGTGGAGTACTGAACGTTGATGTGACACGTTCTGCATAATTAATTCATGCTTGTTTTTATTATTTCTTGTCAAATGATCGACACGATTCAGTCACTAATATAGTTCTACGTATATTTTACACCCATTACCTAATAAATAATAATCATAATAAAAAAATGAATTTGAATGTGTCAGTGTCAATTATTTGGAGACAAGTTGTTCATATTTATCTGATGGATCCTCGAAAAACTAAAAGATCAGATATGGGTGTGGATTGGCTTTTTCTTGCATGTCTTTTTAATAAAAGTCAGAATATTTTTCAATTTCAGGTTTCATATTGATTTCAACACAAGGCCAAGGCTTCGTGCAGTGAAAGAAAAAAACAAATTAAATATTGGTTACGAGAAAAAAAGAAGAAGAAGAAAATAAGAAAAATGTGTTAACTACTTATTATATTTGGTTAAAAAAAAATATATATAGTAGAATTATGTTTAGGAAAAGAAAGGATTGGTATTAAAAAAAATTTCATTAAAAATGCTATTATTTTCTTTTATTTCTTTCTATTTTTGAGAGACCGACAAAATCAACTCATCAAATTTTAATATATTTCTTCAAATTCTTTAATTCCCTTTCCTTTCTTTTCTTTTCAAATTTTTACACTAAACACAAAAAAACGTTATCATTCCAGAGTCCATTTCCTCTCTTTTCTTCTTCTTCCATTTCTTTCCAAACAAACCGAAACTATGGAATTGGAATGTGCAAGTGCCTACAAGTACCACATTTATATAAAATTAACTTAGATTTATTAGTTAATAATTTAATGCAATGATAGAAAAGTTAACTTTACTTCAGTGTATAAATATATATATATATAACTTTCAACAATCAGATCTATTATTCAAAACAGTATCGGATAATGTTTTTAAGTAATTAACAAACTAATTACAAAATTATGCACTAAATGCTCCTCCAAGTCAACATGCATGACATCAAACAGTACATATATTACTATTATTGATAAGCAAACCACCAATATAAAATACACTCCTGCAAGCACAAGTTTCTCTGCACACCCATAGTTAATAATATATTCATTAATAGAAATATATATCTATATATATATATATATATATATATATATATATATATATCACTCATAAGAACAACTCCCAAACTTTATAGCTAGTGTTTATTGTTCATTTACTTAGCAGCACCACCAATCCATAAGCTAGATTTAACATTGATACAGAAGTCCATCAATGTATCTGGATCTGGAACATCCTCTTTCAGCTTCTCGTATTCGAAAGTCCACGTCACCAGGTTACTCTCACCCTTGGTATCAACATGAACAATGATTATGAAGCTCTTGTACAGCTCTATGATGTTTCCTTCAATTACCTTGAACGTCACTGATCTCTTTTCCTCATCTATGGCTTCGATCAACTCCTTTGCAATCTTTTCTTTTCCATCTACATACCATATCACATAAAATGAATAATTAGAACAAATTATGCATAATGATGAGTAAGAACTTAGAAATATAATCTATTTCTTTTTTATAAAAGAATTTATGTCAGATTTATGCAAACTTGGACTAAATCATTTGTCACAATTCATCTCGCTGTGTGGATATGATTCGTTTTGCACAATTCTACTCACAGTTTTCAAACGTGTTTACACTAGCATGCGTTTTGTTTTAGGCGTTTTGTTTTTGGCTAAAACAGAAATCGTGTTTTTGGTGTAAGAGTGTTTTGAAAAAAAATCGAACACACGTTTGGAAACGATGTTTTGCTGTAGAAATGTCAAAAACAGAAACATGCAAAATATGATTTTGGGTCATGATCTATTGTCAAAATAAGAAAAAAATAACTTTTTAGTGTTTTGGTTTTGAGCCACTATTCATGAAGTATTTTCGCACTATGTAAAATAAAATAAGGCCGCACCAAAACATGTTTTTGTTGCCAAAATCAACACTGTAGCAACTCAAAAATAGAAACAGCAGAAACAAAACGCATGCTAAACGGGACCTTAGGAGACATCTATACGTACAAGTGTCAGCAACCTCTCCTTAGACGATTTGGAATGTCACAAATTTTTATAAAGTACTAATATGTATATTTTAATTTATTTTTATTTTTATTTTTATTTGAGGCTTCGCTCTAATTAATCCCCAAGCGCTTAAAGAGCGCCTCCCCATCGTCGGTCTGAAAAGCCGCTCAGTATAGCAGTGGAGGCCAAACCTAGGAAGGCACTTTGTATTAGCCACATGCTAGTGAAGTGGAGATCCCAAGCAAAACTGATCGAAGAAGTGAGATAAGTTTGATATAGACAAAATATATGTTTACATATATATATATATATATATATATATATATATATGTTGGTGTATATATATATATATATAAATGGTACATGTTGGCTTACCATGAACATAGTTCCAGATAATGATAGAGCCTATAGTTCCCCAATCACCTTCATGAAGACCAACACCCTGAACTTTATCAGTGCAAATGTTGGATATGTGGTGTGGTTTGGTTCTGAAGATTTCATGAAACATATCACCATCAGACTTGATCTTTATTTGGCGTTCCATCTTACCACTGAGATCCATCTTTCCTAACTCTTAATTTACCGAACAGAAATGGAGCTAGGGAAGATGTGGGAGGAAGCATATGGCCCTTTGGCCTTTTATATTGTAGATTCTAATAATTGTTTTAACGGTGGAGTGATGCATGTGTTGGGAAACGTGCAAGTTTTAAAAACTTTCTGAAGGATTTTCATACATAAATTTTGATTCATCACATAGAGACAAGTTTTACGCAAAAATAAAATATGATGTATCATTCAATTAATAGATTGAATACTTACATTAAAGGTTTGAGTAAACCTTATATCTCTCCTCTAAAGTGAATGTTCTTACTTATTGTAGATTCCTTTACTAGATGCCTTCTCTTTGGATCTCCATTTTCTTGGTAATGGTCTTGCCTTTAGAAATCACCCATTAGCTTTCATGAATGACGTTGAAAAATTAAGCTCGTGGGAGCCTCCATTAGATAAGAATATTAACCCTAAAAATCTAGAGAGAGAAAATATATCCTTTCTTTTCTTCTAAAAGTCTGTCTTAAAATATACATGAACCCATGTATATATAGGCAACATAAAAATAAGAAAAGGAAACAATAAATCCTTCTCAATTTCTAATTCACATATCTCAAATCTAATAGGATTCCAATATCAAGTTGGGCTATGAGCGAGAATCCTATTGGACTTATTATTTTCTTGGTTATAATGAATTAGTAATTTGTCCAATCCATGGACCCAATTAAATTAATTTATTAATTAATTTCTACTCCACTAAAAGAAATTAATTGAATTCCAATTAAATAATAAATAACCTCTAAGTCAATGTTGCACTTTGACCCCTCTATGCATAATTAGTTATCGGATAAATAAAATCATCAATCCGACTACTTAATTAATATATTTATTTTGGTACTTTTGATTATTTCTGGCTCGATTATAATAAAACATTTGTTTGACAAAAATAATAATTTAAATAAATAAATATATAATAAATCATTTTGTCTAAAAACACACGAAGGCCTTCGAATTTAATTTGTGATCATCCATAATCAATCCAAAATAAATACAAGTAGCAATGATACAAATATTGAAAATATAACCCTCTAACTATTAATTACATAATTACCCAAAGTGCCGGTATAAGGATTCCGAAGATTCCGCCGAACAAATCAAAGTAATTACTAATTAATAAAAGAGTCTATACTTCTCTCATGCTTAAAAGTCAAATGCCATGACGGTGATAGGGAGCAATTGCATATAACGGCTCTAGCAATATATCTCAACCTAACGCGGATCCAGTTCAAGTCTTAGTTAATAATGAGTCCATCCATAATTACCGGCTATGAACTATTTATGATTACTATTTATATTCATGTATTGATCGCTATCACATACATATATAAATATTCCTTGTAATCAAGTGGACATTATCAATTACATAATGAATCGAAACATATTACATTGAATTTACCAATTGTATAAATCATAAATATTTCAGATATGTCAGGAACATATGTTATTAATTATAATCCAAATAGGAATTTACTATGCTAGGACATATAAATCCCAACAGCGCTCACTTACCCTCATAGCCAATTCAAATTGCATCTAACTCCAATGTTATCCAAATGACAATCAAAACTATTGATCGATGACACCTTTGTTAATAGATCAACAAAGTTGTGTTTCAATGCACTGTTCTAGCCACAAGTACATTTTCTTGCCGGACAATATCATGTCTGACATGATACTTCCTCTCAGTGTACCTTGTTCCTCTATGGAACCTTGGGTCATTGGTTTGGACTACTTCTGCATTATTGTCGCAATATAGCTCAATAGGCAGGCTAGTATGCTTCACAATTTCTAAATCAGTGAGATCAAACTAAAAAGGCTTCCTTTGCTGCCTTTCAGGCTGCAATATACTCCACCTTCAGGTTTAAATCAGCAGTTGAAATATACGTAATAATCTACTAACTGATTTCCCTTCCATTGAGTGAACAAACACTAAGTCACGAACCTCATAGTATCTACATATGATTTAAAAATTAGAATCAGCAAACCTGACTTGGACCATATCATCACATCCATAAATGAGTATGAGATCATTGGTACTTCTAAGGTACTTAATGATATTTTTCACAACAGACCAGTTATCAAATCCGAGTATGGATTGGTATCTATTGACTATCCCTACCATATAACGGATGTTCTGTTTGGTATAGACCATGGCATATATAAGACTCCCATATGTCGAAGCATATTGTTTTAATCTCATTTGCTCAATCTCCTTTGTCAATCTTGGAAAACTATTTACTAGATAGAGCAATTCA